CAGCCGAGGACCTGCTGGAGCGCTCTGACACCCTGGCCGTCCCTGTGCATGTGAGGTCCCGGTCGTCTCCCACTGCAGACAAGAAAGGCCAGGTAGGTGCATCCAAAGCCAGCTGGCCTGGGGCTGGCCCTCCGACTCTTAGCGTTAACAGGCACTCCTAGCATCTCTCCTTTGTTCAGTTTTTCCTTTTAAATGTAGGAAAATAATATGGCTGGGTTATTTTTCTTCCATTTTCATCAGCTATTGGTGGGTTTGTTGGGGTGTGGCTGTGGTGGTGTGTGTGTGTGTGTGTGTGTGTGTCTTTTTAGGGATGTAGTTGTTTTATGGTTGTTTGTGGTACTGACAGTTAAACATTGCATGCGGAGCAAGTACTGTAACCATGGAGCTATACCCACCCAGCCTCTTCTACTTTTTCTTTTGAGATAGGGTCTCACTAAGGTGTCTAGGCTGGCCTGAAACTTTTCAGCCCATCTCAGAATCCCAAGTAGTTGGAACCAATCTTTGCCACCAGGTCTGGCTTTTGATATTTTATGTAGCATTCTCTCTCTCTCTCTCTCTCTCTCTCTCTCTCTCTCTCTCTCTCTCTCTCTCTCACACACACACACACACACACACACACACACACACACACGAGAGAGAGAGAGAGAGAGAGAGAGAGAGAGAGGAAATATCCTATCTCCCAGTGGATTGAAACACGTGTGCATACACAACACACACACACACACACACACACACACACACACACACACACACACACACCCTTGTGAGAGAAAATGCTGTATCCTCCCAGGTAGTTTCTGCTCAGAACTGTCTAGGAATACTCTCTCCTCAGTGTAACTCCCACTTAAAAAAAAGTTTATAGAGGCCATTCAAAGCCTTCAGTGTTTCTTCCCAACAGGTCATTAAAATCCATGGGTACAAGATTTTTTTCAGCTAATTTTACAGCAGTAGTTTACCCATGGCAGTCCAAACAGTTTGTTCTTCTCTTCTAATACTATAAAGATGATGTGATTATATATTAAGAAAAAAAAAAAGGCCAGGTGTAGTAGCACACACCTTTATTACCACCACTCAGGAGGCAGGCACATCTCGGAGTTCAAGGCCAGCCTGGTGTACATAGTGAGTTCTAGGACACCCAAGGTTATGTAGTGTAGAAAGACCCTGTCTCTAAAAAAAAAAAGAGGTTGAAAAGCATAGGCAAGAAATAAATCTTCTCATGTTTAAATGTCATTATTCTGTCTTGAGGAATTGGTTGGATGACTAAATGCTTTGTGTCGTCCGTCTCTCCCACACCCCACAATGTTTCATAAGCTGGTCACATGGGAAATAGATGCCAAGTGAGGTTTTAGTTTGTTTTGGAGAAGTGGTAAGGTTTCTTCAAATCCCAGTTAAGTACTTTGTGTTATTTGCAGAACTGTTTTTAGAAAGGTAACTGAACACAGAACAGTATTTAGATGTCCTTCTAATAAAGGGGCACCACACTTAATTGTTATTTAATTGGGGACTATGAAGCCAAGGGGGACATTCAGGATGAGAGACCTGCCTTGTGCTGCTCCTCACCGACACTCACATTCTTGAGCTGCTTCCCAGCCCAGCAGCTAGTCCTGGCCTGACTAGAGATGCTGCCGGACAACTTCCTGTGTGCTCTTCATCTTTAGCCTTTTGTGGTTAAAACAAAGCAAGGGGCTTGAGGGGAGGGTATAGGTTGGCAATAGAAAGCCAGCAGGAGCAAGGCCCTGGGTTTGGTCGCCAATACCAAAGTGTGTGGGGGGAGAGTGGACAAAATTATTCTTACTGCATAAATACTTGGGTTATGGAGTCAAGGTGAATTATGAATTTTAGAACTATACATTCAAGTTTTTGGAATTGTAAGTTTAAAGAACTCTCATCTAGGTTTTTTGTAAAGATTTAGTTAATGAAGAATTTTTCTTCTAGCTTCAGTGAACTCAAGCAAGGTAGGTAACCTTGTACAGACTGAGTTAAAACCAAAATCCTGTAGAATTCATTTCTGGCAATGTCTGAGTTTATGACACCTGCAGAATATGATTTGTTCTCACTAATCGGATGCTGGTAGTACAAGATTTTATAAGTTTTGTTGTGGGTGGGTGTGACTGTGTGTCTGTATGTGTGTTGTCTCTCTCTCTCTCTCTCTCTCTCTCT